ATCCTTCTTGTAGTGTGGGGCCCAAAACTGGATATAGTACTCCAGATGAGGCCTCACCAATGTCGAATAAAGGGGAACGATCACGTTCCTCGATCTGCTGGCAATGCCCCTACTTATACAGCTAAGACTGTGAACTTGACCAAAATGGACTGTGAATTTGGTAGGACCTTAACCATAAGGTGACATGTCCTGCAAGAGCTTGGAAAAACAAGACATTAACCTAAATTAGTATTTCTAATCCAAGCTTTACATGGTTTTCTTAAAAAAAACACTTAGGTAAATTCTACAGATCTGAAATGAGTCAGTCATGAGAGTTTGCTAAAAAACAAGAAACTTCAAGAACAAAGTAATTATACATTTATCTTTACACTTATCTTTCCATTTAACTGTGAATGTTTTCTATAAGATATCCCCTGCTCCTTTCAGACCAAAAGGTGAATGCTTTTTTCACCATTTGGGGCAGGGGAAAGGGGAGCAGCCTGTTTGAGGAGTTAAATTTACAATGGTTTGTTTGGTTTTTACTAAGTTCCCACCTATCCTTTTCCCTCAGTTGATGATGAAAGTCCATGTGTCAGATTAGTTAAGATCTTTGAACTTCTTACACACATTTCTTAATGAGGGGAGCAACCTTAGACAGTATAGTATGAAGCCAGTTTTAAAATATAGACATGCTGATTTTAAAGATGCATATGTGTAAGATGCCCAAGGCCTGGTTATTCAAACCTCACATCTAATTTAGACATCAGCTCTTCAGGACGTATCAAGCTTTTCCTTCTTTGTTGACAGGCACTCCTGACCCCGGGGTGAAATCCTGGCTCCACTGAAGTCAGTGGCAAAATTAATATTGGCTTCAATAGAACCAGGATTTCACCTCAGAACAAAAGCTGAAGAGGTGATTCCTAGGCGGAAGTTGACATGGTATACAGGGAAGGAAAGGCAACATTGGAACTTCAGTTGAGAAGTGTCTAACTTTGAGACCTTGTAAATGCTGGACTATAGCCCTGAGGATGTAGGGGTTGCTTTTTGTGGGGGGGGGGTTTGGTTTGTTGTTTGTTTTGGTTTTTTGGAGGATTTTATTTTACCTATGCTTTAGCAAAAGACATTTTAACTAAGGAATCACTCACAGTATATGTTGTCCTGCATAGTCTTCAGTAGAAACCCTCCCCCACATTCATCTACTCTTCGCAAAAGGAAGTGTTTTGTTCCTAACAGAGGACAGTTTTGCTGTGCCCCAAGCTTTTGTTATCAACTGCTTAGATGTAATAATACAAGATCAGAACGCTGAACTCTTTCATCCTAGTGACTTTATAATCACACATTTGAAAAAGAAATGCTGTAACATTTACTAGTTTTATTTAGTGGCAAGTTCTCTGGAGCAACTACTTATTTTTAAAATATTGTCCAGAACTGAGCAGAACATCAGCACATAAATGCAATCTTCAGAATTGCTGCTATAATGTTCTGACAAGACTATTGTATCCTACAGTGTACACTATATATTTTACCATATTAGCACAGCCTTTATAGAGCTTAAAGGCTGATTCCCCCATTTTATACATTCACTTCATTTCTGTGAATACAGAAAAGTGGGGAAACATGTAAGGTAAAGAATGTAATTAAATAAGCATTTAATTTAGGTTTAATGCAGTAGGAATCAAGCACTTGTTTCTCCATTTATTCTGAAGAATGTGTGTAATATGTTATTCACTAACATGATGAGCCTCTGGAATGCTTCCCTTTTGTTCCCAAGTTACAACCAGTTAGTCTCCAGTAAAGTGAACAATGCTAAAGGCAGCAGTCAATATCCAACCATTGCTATTCTTTCTACTAAAAGGCTGCCGAATACAAAACAGAATAAGCCAGAGTCTCATTTAATAGGCCCATACATACAAGAGATTTAACATATTCACACTGAAGCCTAAAGAGAAAATATCCTCTTTAAAGAACACTGCCCACAAGTCACTTAATTTAGCTTCTCCCTGACAAGCATTTCTTATATTTTTGCTAGCTTTCCCTCATGCAATTACTTGGTTAAAGGAAGGAATGGTTTGGAGACAATCCTAAATTTTAAAAACATGTTTTAATGTACAGCTAAGCATCAGTTATATTATAGTCATTCAGCAGCATACTATGTAAACATAACAAACTTGCTGCTCTATATAATGTTACTTCAGAGGATGACAGTATTCCATTCAGACTCACATGTAAGACAAGACAAGGTGGATGAGGTAATATCTTTTATTGAATCAACTTTTATTGAATCAACCAAGACAAGCTTTTCTTCTTCAAAGCTCTAAAGCAGGGGTAGGCAAACTTTTTGGCCCAAGGGCCACATCTGGGTATGGAAATTGTATGGCGGGCCATGATTGCTCATGAAATTTGGGTGAGGGCTCTGGCTGGGGGCGCAGGATCTGGGGTGGGGACAGAAAAGAGGAGTTCAGGGTGTAGGAGGGGGCTCCAGCTGGGGCAGAGGATTGGGGTGCAGGGGTGCCCCAGGCTAGGATTGAGGGGTTCAGAGGGCAGGAGGGGGATCAAGGCTGGGGCAGAGGGTTGGGGCACAGAAGGGATTCAGGGGTGCAGGCTCCAGGTGGCACTTGCCTCAAGCAATTCCCGGCCAATGGGAGCTGCAGGGGCAGCGCTTGCAGACAGGGCAGCCACAGAGCCATCTGGCTGCCCCTAAACATAGGAGCCGATGGGGGGGGGGGCGGAGAGACAAACTGCTGCTTCTGGGAGCTGCAGCACACAAGCATGGAGCAGTCCCTGACCCTGCTCCCCACCTGGAGCATGAGAGTGGGGCAAGCCCCAGACCCCGCTCCTCAGCAGGATCTTGAGGCCCGGATTAAATCAGCTGGCAAACCGAATGTGGCCCATGGGCCATAATTTGCCCATCCCTGGTCTAAAGCTTGTCTCTCTCACCAACAAAAGTTGGTCCAATAGAAAAATATTACCTCATCCACCTTGTCTCTTTAATACCCTAGGAACCAACATGTCTACAGCAACACTGCACACACGTAAGACAGGAGGCAGCCTAAGTAACTGAAGCCAGCCCACAATCACATCGTTTTTAAACCGCTTAAATCAATTTGTACTTATAACCCCTTTATGCAGCAAGAGACAGGTTTAGAGGCAGGAGGATCAAAGCCAGCTTATCGCAGCATGCCATGTATATGATTATCAATATTGTTTGAACAGAAGGCTTGTCCCCCCCACCTTTCTGGGGGACCGCCGGAGAAAGGGAAGAGAAAAGTGAAAGGATCACCTTCACACAAATCAGAGCTGCAAACCAGACTTCAGCCCCTTTGCTCTACACATGGCCACTAAACATGTGTTTTTAACAGTCACACAGGCACCCTGCAATCCCCCAGTTGCAAAAAAGCCCTTTGCGCCTCTGCAGTGACTATTCCCGCTGAAAGATATCCTTGCGACGAAATTAATTAAATGGCTTAACCGAGGAACATGCATCTTGCTTTACGAACATAAGAAATGAGAGCGAGGAAAGGGGGAGGGGACACTAGAGCTGGGAATGTCATTTAGAGGTGGGTTTAAAAAAAACAACACTTCAGCGTTTCCAGTGAATCAAACCATAGACACGCGCAAAAGGAAAAAGTTTAAACACCAACGCCCCGTAAACCCCCCCCCCCCACTGTGTCTCCAGGTAGAGTTCGGGGGGGGGGAGGAGAGAAGAGGCACAGGCAGCATAGGGAGATCACACACACACACCCGAGAGGGGGACCAAAGGGGAGAGCCCCTCTCTGTTCACACTGTGTCCATGTCTCCCACGGCCAGGGGGTGCAGCGGGCGATCGCCCACATGCCGGGGGCTCTCCCCGGGCACTGCACGCGGGCAGTCTCGCTCCTTTCCCAGCCGCGCCCCGGGCAGGTGCGGTACCTCGCAGCCGTACAGCTGCCCCAGCTGCTCCACGATCCACTCCTCCAGCACCAGCCTTTTCCGCAGCTCCTTCCGATCGTACTTCACCGTCACTTTGCCTTGCTGGTGGCGCCGCTGCTGCTGAACCTGCACCACCGCCGCCGCCGCCGCCGGGGCGGAGACCGAGTCCTCCCGGGAGGAGCCGCCGCCGCCGCGACCACCGCCACCGCGGGGGCTCTGGAAGAAAACCCGGTTCCCGCCGCCTCCCCCAGCGGCACCCGGCTCGCTGCCCCCGGTCACCACAGACATGCTCCGCGCCCAGCCGCGCTGCCGCCCCTAGGGAGATCGCTGCCCGGTGGCCCGGCTCGGGCTCTGGCCGCGGCAAGGGGCTGCCTCGCTCCGGCGCCCGCAGCTCCCTCCCGGCCGGTGCAGCAGCAGCCTCGGCTTGTGCAGCTCCGCTCCGCACCTGCGGCGTGACGGCTGCCCGGGCGCGCACAGTCAGGCTAGGGGAGGGGCGGAGGGCTGTGTTTCGGGCCCCCTGAACCGGGGGGAGAAGGCGGGGACAGCGCCTTAAAGATACAGCCAAGGACAGCTGAGCCGTGCCCTGCCCCACGCCTCGGGAGCTCCCCCGCCCAAACCTCCCCCTCACACCTCTGCTGCTTTCCCTGGCTGCTCGCCGCGGGCCCCGGCAGGGGCAGGAAAGGAAACTGGCTTTGCCTTGCTCCCAAAGGTCCGCCCACTGTGAGCCCCTTGCTCCGCTTGGCCAGTCACTACCCCTGGAGTAGCCCCACGGGAAAGAAGGGGAAGGCTGGAGCGGGGAGTGCAGAGGACTCGCTAGCTCGCCCAAGGGCAGTTTCCCCCTCCAGGATGTTGCCAATTCTTGCCCTTCGTGCACTCTCTGGGTCCTACTTGACTAAAGCTCTCATTGCAATCAAGGAGAGTGTAGCCTCAGTGGGGACTGTCGGGCTTGGGCTTGTGACTATTTTTTCTTTAAGGGGGGTGATTTTCTTTTTTAAACTATGCCCCTGGAAGTGCAGACAGCCCTAGGTCAGAAAAAGGCAGATTGGGCTGTTTCCAGCCTGAGGAGATGGCCAGTAGGGTTACTGCTGCAGTGTATGGTTACCAGTGTCCATCTGTGCTGGCTGTTATAAAGGCACACTCACCATGCAGCACTGAAGGTTTCTACATCCTCTGTAAAATAAAATTACCTGTGATACTAAAACAGGCATGGCAAGTGCTCTCTCCCTTGTTCTCTCTCACACACAGGCACCCTTTCAAGCTCTTGCTTCAGAGACAAAGGCATAAATGTCATACATATACAGGCCTTTTCCAGCAGTTGCCTGGTATCTCTCTCACACAAACACAGAGTCCTTTTCAAGTAATTATGCTGTATAGCAAAAGCATAGATATTTCTCACCCTCCCTCACACATACACACACACAAACATGTTTTCAAGACAATTACCTTGGGTGGTCAGTATACCTGGATTGCTCACAAATGTTTGCAGACTTGGCAGTAAAACAAATATTTCTTACTCTGGTTCATTCATACATGCATCATATCACAAATCTGCAACATAAATTTACAAGTGACTGCATGCAGCACTTTTGCAATCTGGATAATCACACCATTGAAATCCAAATCTTTTCCAGGCAGATTGTGCTCCTCTGAATTTTTCATTTAGCTTTTCATTTTCATCTAGTAAAGTATGAATTCAGCAATCAATGATCTTTACACAAGACAGTATTTTTCCCTTTATACTTTTTTTAAAGGTATTTCTGCCGTGAAGCACAAACTGCATTTATTAATATTACATATCCAGATACTAGAGCATGAAAATGTTGCTCATAATCATCTTCTTTGTAGGGAGGCTGAATATTTCCGTTGTAGTGATATCAAATACTCAGCAAATATTTCAATCTAACACCAATTTTCTGATCATTAGCAAATTAAAACATTTTGTCTGAAAGATGCTGTTTAGGAGGACAACACTGCAAACCTCTTGGGATTCGTGTTTTGATTTATTATATTAGTTTATAACTAGAAAGGTCCCCTTGAAACATCCCCTGCAGGAGGTTCTTTTGCTGTATTATAAAAACCAGGTTTGACAACCACAGATTTCATTTCCCATACACAGAAACCTGGTTATGACCACCAGTAACCAGCTAGCATAATTCAAAAACTGTTCAATGGGGACCTCCAGGTCACAGTTAGCAAAGATGCTAGTAAAAAAAAGAGTTTGTTTATCCATAGCTTAGCATCTGGATAAAGCCAATAATGTACATGGTGGTACACTGTACTAGCAATGGCCTGGTGGCTCCATCAGTTTTTTATCTACCCTGGATTTTCAGCCACAAATGTAGCTGTACCAGGCTAGCTGCTCTAGTGTAGACATGGTTTATACCTGTCATATGCATAATCCCAGTGTAGACAAGGCTTACACTTTCATTCTAAAAAAGAAATCCAATTTTTCAAATCTGGTTGCATAAAAGTAAAGCAACTAAATCCATATTTTAGGCACCTTAAGATTTTCAGAGATGCTGAGCACCTGCAACTCATATTGACATTAATGAAATCACACTTGCTTGGCTTGGCTTGTGGGCAGAGTAGGAAGGAGTATCACCATCAGTATGACACATTTTCAATATTAACCTCATTAACTATTTCGCTACTGATCATTTTAGCAGAAACATCCAGATACTATGTTTATGAGAGGTGTCTGAAAAAGAGTGCCACCATTCCCTCCCTCCCATTTGGTGCACTTCACTGCTTCTATCCCGACAAATGTAGAGACCAGTCTATCAGGCTCCAGCACTAGAATGTTTTTTAGTTTTTGGAAATATAGGCCTGGAGAGTAAGAAAGGGTCACTGTCAGCAACTGCTTCTGACACTTATGCAAACCATAAAAGAAAACAATGAGGGTTTAAGGAGGGGAGTGGTTGCCTTTTGAATCTTTGTGTTTTGAGATGCTTGTAATTTGGGTTTTAAGCTTTATATGTCATCTGAAAAGTCTGATCCAGAGTTTCTCAACCATATGCTTTCAAACTTCTCTCCTGGGAGCAGAGAGATTTTCAAGTTTTTATCAAATCCTTCTAGACAGATTCTGACCTCGATTACTAGAATTTGATACAGTTCAGTAGTTTTCTGAGAAAAATCTAGGCTGCTCTGGGGGAGGGGAAAGTACTCTGGGCCAGAGCCTCTATTGTGAGCCACTCTGAGGCTCTGACCCTCTGTCTTTTAGTCCCCCCTCCCTTAAGGTGAGTTGAGCACAAAGTCTCACATTAAATTCCATAGTAGGAAACTTTCCAAAGCCAATAGAGCACCACATTCTACATATGTCCCCACACATGGGGCCTAAGGCTCAAAACAATCAGCCTTGGATTTTTGTTCCCCGCTGTAGCAAATATCAGGTGTGCAAGTGGCTTGTGTTCTTATCTAGCCTAAGTGGGATACTCCAAAAAGATGTAACTTAAATATCTTTTAGATATTGTACTAACAGACATCATAATCAGTACAGGCACCAGAGAGGAGACACCTGCTGTTCAAAATAAACACTCTAAAAGTGGAAGATGAGAACTCATTTCCTCAGAGGCATCCTTCAAAGACAATTTAAAAAATTAAATTTTTAAGATAATGTACAGTGATTGGTGAAAGGGGAACTGGTAGAGCTGAAAGCAGCATTCTCAGAAGGCAGTTTCCATGCACAGTTGGTTTTTCATTCTGTTTTTAAAGAAAATTCATTCTCAGGAAGCCAAGACAAAAATTACTGCCAAGAATTTTGATTACAATTTTGCTTCAGTTGAGAAAAAGATCAAGTTGCTTGAAAGTCAAACTTGAGGAAAAACTTTTAGAACAACTGTTAATATCCTGGGAATGACCAATGCTACTGCATAGACAGAGTTTATAGAGTTTACTCCTGAAGTCGGATATCAATAACGACCATTTTTTAGAGAAAGAGGCTACAGAGATTTCCTTAAAGAGTCTTTCCAAAAGCACTGATGATGGAACCTTTAATTGATAAAGACAGGAAACTGTGTGTAGGAAGGAAGATATCTTCCCCATTGCTCCACTACCAGTCCAGATTATGTTACACCCACACCATTATGTTTAATCTAAAGATGGTTATTGATCCAATAGCACCAAAGGGTAGCCAGAATGTGATACCCTCAGAATACTATGCTCTTTCTGTCAGCTGGTGGTCAGGCTCAGAACCCTGTCTAGAATCAATGATGCATGTAAATTGACCTTCTAGGAGGAAACATCAATAAAAAAGGCAGCCTGAAGAGTTAGAGCCAATTCCCACCCCCAGCCCCCCCATAAGATTGGCCACCTCCCTACCAGGTGATTCAGATTAATCTGAAAAATGAGAAATTGAATGGAGACATACTGATGGAAGTGGCTGAATTTTCTGCAGGTTGTGAATCCCTAAAGTAAGTGGGAGTGAGTGGAGATGAAGAAAAGTTTGCTGGAGCTTGCCCCAAAAATATGTTGAAAAACAGATGCAGCCTTCTAGTTGCTTTAAGTTGGGCGAGAGGCCAGTTCAGCCCCATGGATCAAAGGAGGAAACCAGTATTTCTGCAATGCTTCTCCTCAAGTGTGCTGAGCAAAGTCCCTTTTCATGCACCTGAGGATCCAGACCAGTGTCTCTACCTTTACTATAGTCTTCCCCCTAGTTTATGTTATCTGGTTCCTCTATTTACCTCTTACCTTTCATGCCTCAATATTCCTATCATTTTTCCTTTTTTATCCTGTCTCCTCTGTTCTATCCTCTGCTCTTTTCCTCTCTTCCCCAGCTCTCTCTACAATATCCTATTCTGCATCACTGCTGCACCCTCATGGAGTACTACAGTAATTCAGCTAGACAGGAACCTTTGTACAGATTTAACACGGGGCTTTCTCCGCCTTCCCTTTGAGCAATGTTGCATGCCACTGTCTGGACCACTCCAAAGTCAGAAGAGAGAGCCTATGTGAGATTAGCAGGACGTGGCACCCTGAATTTTCAGTACCTTTTATCTCTAATGCCAGCTTAATGGAGTTTTGTGGTAGTAGTACTACTACTAATGAACTAATTATATACTACTATATTAATAATATTACCCTATCAGTTTTATATAGTACATTTATTTTAAGAGACTCCATATCGAAATGTGGGAGAGTATTGCACCTCAGCAGAAGATGGCTAGACAGTTGCAAACAATACAAGCCAGGCTGTGCCCAGATGCTTTATCAGTGTGAAAGGGGAAGGGGGTGCAAATAAACACACACACACACAGACTTCTACAGAGCAACTGGGTACAGTTATGCTAGCAATCCCCGCATTCCCCCGAAGTACAGGAACCCATCCGTATTTGTACACTAAGGGGTGCAAGCCACCACAAGCATGGCAAGGAACAGGTGGGGTCATGGTTCTGTTTCTCACTGTGCACCAACCAAAGAGCTGACCCCACATGATGGAGGGGAGAGAGTTTGCTGCCAGCTGAAAAGTTGTAGCAGCAGGAATTCTGAGGCCAAAATTCCTCCCAGATCTCCTCTGGCACAGGGCAGGGCCATATTGCCTCTGCAGTGGGCACACGTGAGCCCTATAGCTGAGTGTTCTGGGTATGTATATGATTATTTGTACACATGTTACCATGCAGCCTGTTGCTTTTCACACAAAAAAATGTGGATGTGCTTCCTTTTTATGAAGGGG